ATATAAAATGAACTTTGACGAAAATTATTGAGAAGAGCTATTTTGCACTACCAAATTGATTGTTTTATTTTTTTAGAGACCATTTGATTAAAAAATTTCATTATTTTTGTTTTATATAAAAATAATGGATACAATATTTTTTTCTCATATAAATATCTTAAAAAGTTGAAATAAAATAAAATAAAGAAATAAAATTATAATTTTAAAAAATTTCTGAAACAAAATAGGGCCTTAATTTTCCCTAAACAGATTTCTCATATTCTATTTTAGTTAGTGAGATATAATTAGCGAGCTGTTCAACTGTTCAAGTGTAAGACTAAAGCCTATTAAGAATAAGTCGACTGGTCTGACAGTTCAAGCTCAAAGTTATGTTAAGATTGCCATTTAATTTTTCCTCTTTTAAAAAATGAACTATTTGTTCCTCATAATTGAACTTTTGGCAAACTTTCAAAAATAGACGACGAAATTGACAAAATTTATAACTATAAAAAAATATAAATATTCTTGATATAATGACTGATAACTGTTGTTTGGGCCATTGAAATTAGATTACTATTGATCACAATTCACAGAGTCGCAAACTAAATTGGTTATTAAACTTTTGTTACTCAAATTGACCGGTTCGCACGGTTTGTGCTGTTCTTGATCGAACCGGACTGTTCATTCCAATTTTTAAAATTATAAAAATATTCATTTACTTTTGTAGGATATATGATACTTAGTATATTTCGTTTACCTAAACTTTAGAAAATATAAATAGTAAAAGTTAGCTATAGTTGGTTTTACTTAAACGTGTTAAATTTTTGGCCCAAACCCATTTGATTCCATCCCTGCAAGAACGTTGCATGTATCTAGCTCCATCCCTGAACATTGCTATCAGGTTTACTAATACAAGTGTCTCATGCGCTTCAGCAATTTAGTTTTTTTATTATTACTTCTTCCCGTTTCAATGTATTTTTTATGTGAAACAAAGTTGATTACTTTAGAATCGATTTTTTTTCCCTCTAAGGAACTTGGTTCCTGCTGTCATTTTTTGTTTTGATAATCGTATAAGTTAAATTACCTTATATAAATAAACAAACAGAGCCTAAGAGGCCATTAGAACTGCATAATGGCAAATGAGCTCTTCATTCAATCAATTAATATTCGTGTAAGTGAAACATAAAGGATACATAGGAAATATACAATTCACATATAGCAATTAGCTATGGTGAAAGTCAAGGTATTATAATTAATATTTTGGTTTTGGAAACTGAAAATGATCAAGTTTGTCTTGTGGCGGGGTTTTCTTGTTGATGCTTCTTTTCTTCCCTTCTTGTGGCTGTGGCAGAAACGTAATAGGGAACAGTGAACAATCCGTGGATGAAACACAAAATGCCTCCTATGGATAGGAAGCGATGGTTAAACATCCCACAAGATTTTCTTGATCTTGAGTTTGCTAATGTGCCTATGATGAGCATGGAGAACGCAACTACTAATGCAATCCTGCAAGGAACACTTGTTCAGCATCTTGCATGTGCATAACTTGCGTTATATATATTTTTTTCACATGAATTTCGGCTAAGAAACATAACTTGGAAAAGTTAGCTTAAAAAAAAAAATTACTCAAGTCTTATAAGTATTTTAATTCTTTCCTACCAACGTGAACATCTTAACAATCAAGTTGATATAAATTGATTCTGGATCTATTCCTAATTAAAATGAAATATTTTAATAATCAAGTTGAAATAAATTGATTCTGGGATCTATTCTTAACTACCATGAAACATTTTTTTCATATGAATTTTGGCTAAGAATAAGTAGGCTCTACGTTACAAAATTAGACACAACTTACTTAAGAAAGTTAGGTTAAGACAAATATTGTCCAAGCTTTATACGAAGTATTTTAGTTTTATTCCTACCCAACTTGGGACATCCTAATAAATAAGTTGAGATAAATGGATGGAATGAGTTGTGGAACATGCAGGCTGAAGAAGCAAAGTAAAGTGCTAACTTACCATGAGAAAATGAGAAAGGCCACTGCTAATTGCCTATTGGCAGTAGCTGATCGGTATTGTGCTTTGGACCGCACACAGATGCATCCACCAAGCAAGTTAGCAATGGCATGGGCAAGTGTCAAGAGAATGGCAGCTGCCAATCCTAGCTTGAAAGCTTTATAGCTTGGGTACCTACATTCAAATATCCACACCTTCATATGCTTCTCCTGTTTCATCATCCCAAAACATTAGGGAAATTAATCCCATTAATGTTCTCAACTAATGAAGCTCTAGACAAGGACTAGGGAGGGGTGTGTAATTAGAGAGTACCTTGTTTTGAGCTATTTCTGCCTGAATTCCAAGTATGCCAGCAACAATGTCCAAGACCATGACAAGTATGCAGATAAGGAAACCATAGTTTTTTGCCATGAGGATGTGAGAACTATGCCTTGTTGATGGCTCTTGACTATTTAACTGTTCAGCACTAGCTTTTCTAAATGAAGGAATAAGAATAAATTTTGGGGCACGTTTGCTACGTGTATGAGAGCAACTACAGCTATGATCTACGATCTTCGGGTAAAAACTTCATTTGTCTTTTCATTTCACTTTATTCTTCTTTTGTCTATCCCTTTCCAATATTCGTTCCATGGGGGGCAAGGAAAGCAGAGTATCACTAGCAAAGGAAGCGACAATGATACGTGCTTTCAACTTCAACTTTCAAGCATGGCCAGCCAACAAGTATTCCTAAAGAAAAAGTACCTCTATTTTTACTTCAAAAAATTCTCTTTAATTTTCTTAAATTCTTTTGGTCATAAAAGTTGTGATAAAGGATAATAAAAATGCTACCGAGTAAAAAGTTGTTCTGCAGAAATAGTAGGAACGCAGCACATTTATAAAAAATTAGAAAGTTTAATTTTTTTTTATTTTATATTTGACTCAAATATGTAAGTTAGTTTCTACGAGCAACAAATTTATAAATAAATTTTTATACATATATTTATTTTTAATTTAGTCTCTATTGTTATATTTCAACTTAATAACATTAAAAAAATTTCTTATATTTATAATACTAAATCTCTTATTTCACAACTATCATCTCTTTCAATCTCTTTTTCATTGTAGTTTTTACTCCATAATTTAAATAAGTATTTTTTTAACGTTGTTAAGTAAAAAATAAAAACATAAACTAAATCAAGAATAAATGTACACATAGTATGAACTAATTTAAAAATTTGAATTAAGTATAACAACCAAAAATTTATTTAAATCAAATTAGAATTTAAATTCTTTAGAATGAAGAAATATATAATGTCATTGTACCAATAATTAAGACCAAGACATCATTATCTTGAAAAAAATATAATTAAAAAAATGTTACTTTCTAAATAGGAGTCATTTATATGAAAAAGACAAAAACAAATAAATCAAAAATTGATTTCAATACTTTTGGATATAAACGGAGAGAAAAAGTCCAATGTGAGGCTGTTTTGACACCTCCTCCATGAATGATCCTTCAACTTGGTATAATTAGAAAATGTTGCTTAGCGAAGCTGGGTACCACGGGTTATTGTCCAATCCGGTTGAGTTCGGCTTATGACCTGTTTGTGTAAGTAGCATACCTCCGTTCTCAAAGGAATTCCAAGTTTTCGGATTCTCACGTAATTTACTTTGTAAGTTGTGCCGAGGGGAGTTTTAATTGATATATATACAAACAGGCTTTTTATCAGGGAAAATCTTAGGCTTTCAAGTGTTCATCAAATAAAGTGAGATTTAGTCCTAATTCATTGCATTTAACTACATAATTTTTCACTAATTGAATTAGCTGGTTAATGAATGAATTTGATTTACATGGTTTCATGACATCATCATCTTATTCGTTTGGTTAGAAGTGATGCTCTTAAGGCTAAGCTTCATTTTGAAGCCAACATTCCCATAAGTGGTCACAGGGCTTATTGAGCTTATATATCAATATATTCCCCCACTTTCTTTGTAACTTTATCTTTCCTTTTAATTGGAGTTCAATATTTCGGAGGAATGAAATGTCTAGATGCACCAAGTCTAAAGGCTTTGGTATAAATTTGGATAAATTGCATGATCATAATAGGGATGAATATTTGAATAAATATTAAGAGGTGGCCTGCTTGGACGGGTTACCTGCTGTTGGAGCGATTTCAATATAATTAATTAATTAATTAATTATATTATATTAGTAATCATCACTCTTTGCATTGGGATTTCAATAGAATAGTGTTGATACTGAAGACAATTTAGAATGCGGATATCACCAAGGGCTGTGGTTGCTATATAAATTAATAAATTTTCATGACGCAAAGGAATAAATTAAGCTCTTTCTTGAAGAATCGGATTAGTCCTAATCATTGCTATACAAATAATTAATTAAAGAAGGAAATGGCCTGAAGAATTCTAACTGTATGCTTGAAGACCATGCACAGACTTCTGACTTTTGAGATAAAAATTGTTATTAAATTTCTCAGAGCTGTGAAAGCATCGTATAAAGTTGTTTATTTGATTATTCTATTAAATGTCTCTTATTGATTAATTCAATTTCAATCTCATATTTTATTTGAAACAATTGGATGATTGTGGTCCTTGTTTCCTCATGGGTTGATTGTTCAAAAATCAGAAGCTAATGTCTAACCTTAAGCGGTATAAAAATTCTTGGAGATTGCTTGAATCGGAAACCTAGATTGAAATCTGAGTCATCATAAGACTTATAAATCAAAGTATAGAGTTTATGGCAACTCAATTGATATCTATAAAATGTGTATCATGTTACACATGGAATTTCTCTATGTGAATGGTCTAAATTCTAAAAGAAACAACAACTTGCTTACGAAGGAAATGTGTAATTGAGAATTTAAAAAATAAAATAGATTCCTTGATTGTTTGCTTTCCTTTGCAGTTGGAATGGTTATCGGTACGTGGAAATATTCTATACATTTCTTCTCTCAAATCCTTTTGAAGGTTGAACCTTTAAGAGCATAAAGAAAAGAGAGACACAGAATGCTTGAGGTCTGGCTTTCTCTCAAGAGAACACTTCAATGCAAACCACACCCAAATCAAATTCATGATCCAAAGACAAGTAAGAACCAAAAAAGTAATCATAGAACCAAGTCAGGTAAACTTGAGAGTTCAAATATCAAAGATTTCATCCACGGAAGCAAGAGGTATTCAAAAACTCCACCAAGTTCCAACCCAAAACCCAAAGGAAGCATTGACATCATCAATCCCATAACCCATGAAATTGTTCTTGATAGCTCGAACAGCAACATTTGTCGATGTTATCCTTGTCCTCAAAGCAATAGCAGCAGCAAAGGTTCAGAAGGTTCTCATAGAACAAGAAGGACAGCAGCATCTTCAAGGACAACCAATCATGTTGATTACAATGAAGCAAATGCCTCCTCCAACTCAAGGATGCTGGTTCAGATGGATCCTGACGGTTCTTCAATAATGATATGTCATAAATGTGGTGAGAAACTAAAAAATCTTGATGCGGTAGAAGCACACCATATCTCCGAGCATTCAGGTAACAAAGACTAGTAGTTTCCTAATAGAACTGAAATGTCAAAGTTTGAGGTGCTTCTGCTTTCGTTTTTATTTTCTTCATGTGATGCTTCAGTTGTTGCCAACCAATTGATGTAACTTGATATGTGTTGATTGAACTTCCTCTTAGTTTTGGATTCATAATTTTTCTTCATACTTAGGGGACTGAATGGAAGTGGAAATAAGATAAAACTTATCATATACACTAGACCTCATGCCACTACCTTTTTATGTGTTATATTTGAAATGAGAGTGCATGTGATTTCTGTAAACTGAAGCTAGATATTTTTCATTTATGGTTTGTTGAAGGGAATAAAAATGAAACAGAACACTTATTTATTTTTTATGGAGTGGAAATGTACTTCTAAGATCCTAATTTACCAACATGTACTGTTTTGCAGTCACTGAACTTCAAGAAGATTCATCCAGGCAGATAATAGAAATAATATGTGAAACAAACTCAGTTGATTCTGAAAGCATGTTGGGGCAGATTGATTGTATCTTAAAGGTCCAGAACATACCAAAAACCCTTGCTTGCTTTGAGGAATATAGAGAGATGGTGAAGGTCAAGGCTGAAAAACTACAGAAGAAGCACCCTCGTTGTGTGGCTGATGGAAATGAGCTTTTAAGGTTCCATGGCACAACTATTGCATGCTCTCTAGGCATAAATAGTTCTTATAAGTTGTGCACTTTAGAATATTGTGGAATATGTCAAATTATGAGGCATGGCTTCTCCACCAACAAGGAATTCCAAGGTGCATTAGGGGTTTACACCACTTCTACAAGTGGAAAAGCCTTTGATTCCATTATGACAACTGATGAGAGAATGTTTCTAAGGAAGTCTGTTATAGTGTGTAGAGTAATAGCTGGGAGAATTTATACTCCTCTTGAGGAAATTGAAGAAAAGGTTGATTCAGAGTTTGATTCATTGGCAGCAAAATTATATGGTCATTCTGATGTTGAGGAACTCTATGTATTGAATCCCAAAGCTCTACTCCCTTGCTTTGTGGTAATCTACAAACAACAAACAATGAAGGTTAAAAGGTTCAACTCAAGCTTGAGGACAAGTTTTAGATAGGTATCTTTTAAGGTTCATGTGTCAGAGTAGAGATTCTTCTGAGGTATTTTAGAACTTCAGTATATTTATTTGCTTGTGATGATGTATAGATAAAATATCAATTCAAAGTTGTACAACATTCTCACCAATTGGATTAATTGTATCTTTAGCTGTTGCAAGCAAGAAACAATAATATATTCATTGTTATCACGTTAATTTTATTTAGGAATCGACATTGATGTTTGATGCCTAACATGCTCTATGATTTGTTTATATTCCATAAATTAGACATGATGCTTGTTTGTACTTTTCATTAAAAGGGCTTATAGTGTGTATTTATGTGGATAAAAGGGGTATTTGTTTCAATTATATTAATTTTTTATTGGGTTTTTTTTTATCTCTTATCTTTTTATCTATCTCCTTATTGTGTTTTCCCCGTACTGTGTGATATATTATAAAATATAAATTTAAGAATAATATTATCTTTTTGAGTTCATTGATAAAATTATGGTGAGTTGATTAAAGTAAATATGCCTGATAATCTAGTGTTTATTATGTAGGGTGTGATTATATTGCTCTTTTGGGCTTTGAAGTTTTCAATCCAAGATCTTTTGTCAAAAAAGTTAAAAGGAAAGTGGGCCAAAGTGACAAATGGGTCAATGGGCTCAATATATATACGCTGTCACTAGTGAGGCAGTTAAGCTTATTCATTAAACCAGATGGACCTCTCAGTATCATTGTCTTCTTGACGATGACATTGCAATTATTTCTTTCGTAAAGGCCTTTGAAATTGTAGACCAAAAAACGGTGTCTGAAATCAATACACATATCAGTGTTTTCGAACCAAAAAAATGGGTGTGCATGACAGATAAAACTGTGATGGTGCTAACTAAACGGTGTCAATATTATTATATCAGGGAATGGTTGATGGTGAATTTTGTAAATTTAACAAAATTTGGAAGTGCCTTTTTGAAAACGGAAAGGACAAATAAAGAATAATTAGAAATGAATGTGATAATAGTAATATATAATGGAATGAGTTGTGTACGCGTATTGGCCGAACTTTATTACAATTTTTGGTGTTATTTATATATTTAATGCAATTGCAATGTAAGGAAAGAAAGTAGGCCTCAGTTGTGTGTGTTATGTAGCTGCGAGTGGCATTCTATTTTGCATAAATATTCTGCGCCAAATTACGCTCAAACGCACTCTCATCTCTTGTTTCGAAACGAAGCCACCTTTTTTGTTTCTCTTCAAAGGGTAAGCACTATGCACTCTTCTTTGTTTTTTCTCTTTCTTTTATATCGTTAGATCTGAGCCTCTTTTCCTCTTTATTACTCGAAATTTTTAAATTCTGATAACTAATTCCTGAGATTGCCTGATGTGAATATTTGTAACCCCTTTATGATTCAAGGAAGTATCTTTTGTTTGGTATATTAGGGTCTTATCGGTCTTTTCTTTTGAATCTGGTTGGTTTTTCATATGGATTGTAGTAAGATTGGATCGATTGGGGAAGGACGTGTGAATCTTGTAAACTAACGAAGGAATTGGCGATGTTGTTTTCGATTATCATCTTCTTGCAATTGACGATCCTATCCTGTGAATTCTTAGCTTCTTTGTAGAGACAATTGATATTACACATAATATGTTGAGAAGAGGAAAAGCTTTTGATTCTTTGCAGAAGCTCAAGATCACATTTTTCCTATTTTGTTAGACAAGAAACAGATCCTCGTTTCTTTTTAGTGATAAAGTAACATTACTTGCTGATATGTGAGTGAAAGGCCTGCTCTTGCTTCTTCTCTTTGGGAGTTTTGTTATTCTCTTTTGATTGCTTCTGTAGTCTGAGTCAAATCTTGAATGTACCGTGTTTTTGTGAGGTTTCCTGGTGATTAGTATGTTTTTGAGGGTTTTGGATTTGGCATAATGAATGCACACTGGTGGCTTGATTTTGGGAGATTTTCACTTCTACTCACTGAGCAACTTCTAATGATATTAAAACAAAACCCTATATTGTATTTTCTTGAAGCCAAAAGTATGTTTAGTATGTGTGAGAAAGAGGAAAAAAAACTGGGAAGGGTGGGATTGTGATTGCAATATTGATATGTCATAATTTAAGCCTTGCTGGTGTTTTGCATAACATTTACCTAGAATCACAACTTTACTGGTCTTTTGCATGATGCACAGCTTTTGGGGACTGAAAAAGGTTGATATAGAAGCCATGGTTCTTGACTCCATTCTGTCTTCTCCTCGAATGAGGTCTCCATCTTTCAGGAGGCAGTTTACAAAGGATGAACTGGGTAATTGGTCCACACTTGTCCAGAGGCATCGCTTCCTCTTATCTGCTCTTGTTCTCCTAGCCCTCCTCTGCACTGTTTATCTTTACTTTGCTGTCACTTTAGGAGCCAGTGGCTCCTGTTCTGGGTTAACTGGAGCACAGAAAGCTTCATGCCACATGGAGCTTGTTAAGGATTCTGTGGCCAAGGGCAAACTGAAAATTCTTTAATATTTCAAAATATAATTATAATGGAATTTGTTTTTCTTCTTTTTATTTTGCCCGAGAATAGGCGATATGAAATCGAAATATAGTCTCCGGCTGCAGTATTAGTGTGATATGTATACATACTGGTTATCTCAGTATTTGTGAGCCAAAATGTACAATACATGTAGAAAGCAATTTCTTAGATACATTATGTTAATTTTGGTGATTGCGTACTTGTTGACATAAATTTTTGGGCAACATAGTTGCTAAACGAAATTTGAAATTACTTAATGTGTAAATTATGGCTGTTTCGAAACCTCATTTTTTATATTAGTCTGATGTCTGATAATATTGTAATCTGTATTGCTGAGTGAGAATAATCTGAATAACTCTCGCAGCGTGAATAATTCTCGCAATGAGTGATATCATTTGATCACTCCTTTTACTTGTGGTAATATGATCACGATCGATCAACTGAATTTGCCTTAACTATAAAATGCATAGATGTTATGGTCGGACCGGTAAAGTTGAGTAAAGATTATTTGCATTTTAACTGTACCTTTTAACATACCATATAAATCTTAACAAAGCATTATTCTTAATTATTTAAATAGCATGAAAGCTAAGCTGAAAAAATGGTGCCTTCACTTGGATTGCCTCTCCTCTCGAACCAATTACTTTGTTCCATTTTCTCATTCATTCACAATTCCCATTACAAGTAAATAAAATCAAACGAACTGCAGTCTGCAAAGATTACGTTCAGTATTTTAGGTCGATAGGGTATAATATCTACACAAACAGAACAATTTAGATCGATAGTTCACAAACCATTATTTTGAGGCCAAATGACTTACGTCTACCCCTCCCTCTTTCTCTTTCTCTATTCCTCTAATTAAAACTTAAAAACATTTTAACAAAAAGAAAAGCTAACAAGAAGAGAAAGTGTTACTTTATAAAATATATCATTTTTTAATTTGGATTGTAAATAAAAATCTTTATTTTTTTTTAATTTGAGGAAGAAAAAGCGGAGACAATTTCAACACATTATTCTGATCTTAAAATTCTGTGGCATACACACGATTACATAGAGTAGTCCTCCCAATTCATCTTTAAAAATGGAATCATCTGTTCTACTCTTCTCTTTTTGGATAAATTGGTAGGAAGCGAGACGGGAGTAATAAACCCACTTAAATAATATCAACCCCTTTTTTTCACTTTAAAATGATTAAATCCTTGTTGTATTAATTATGCCAAATCATGCATGAATTGATTGATAATAAATTGTTTAATAGCAAGATCATCCACAACAATGGTCTGAGTTGGTGTTCACGTCGTAGTAATGGCTGCTCATTATGGTGGTGACAATAATGATACCAAGGAGCAGGTGTGATTGCCGTGGCTTGATGATGAGAAAGACAATGGAATCAAGTATTTAAGGCACAAGTTTTATTATTATTTATGATGAAATTGAATGAAAGTTCATCATCCACTTCGAAGGGAATTAGCATCTCAATTTGATGCAGGGGGTAAAAATACTAATCCTTTTCTGTAATCATTCCAACATATATATATATATATATATTGATTTTTTTTTGCCAGCACACCATTTTAATAAACAAAAATGACTTGAAACGCATATAACCTTATAATGCTATACAATTTTTAATACACCCTTTGAGTTTAAAATTCATTATAATTTTAACTGTCGCTTTACTCAAGTCACAATATATTATCATGATACAAATACATTAAAATTTTAAATATACTATAATCACTTCAAACTATATAAAACAACTACATATAATATTCAAAATATTACCCATATAATTTGACCATTTATAGTTTTCTTCCACCAAAATTGTAGCAAGTCAATATCGATTTGTGACCGATAACGGCCTCTGGTATTTGATGTTTCACCCAAAGCAAAATTGTGTTGATTTTCCCATTCCATTACAGTGGGATCCATTGTCCACCGAATTGGTCAAATAAACTTCCCCAAAAATTGGCGGCATGAGTAACGGAAAAAGTTAAGCACCGAGCTAATTGAGTCAAGCTAGATACATTGGTCACGTTGAATAATGGATTATTATAATTACCATGACCAATGCGCATGCTCAGAATTGTGTTGTGTTTCTAGCGTTGGGTCTCTCAACATGTCTCTATTTTTATTTTTTAATTCGGTAATCTAAAAGTTGGATTGGGGGGTTTTCAATCCTCTGTTTGTATAAGTTAGAAATGGAGTTATGTTACTGAGAACAAATTCTCTTTTCATTTAACTGTATTAGAAAGGGTACATAAATAAATTAAACTATTGGATTAGTATTAAAAAGTACACCACGTTCAGTGAACTGAAATCCAAACAGGATTCAAACAAGGAGGTAGATTAACAGGTAGTTCGGTTCCTTATAGTTTAACTTCAGTTTTAAAATATATTTGAATGTTTATATGGAAATTTATTTTGTTCTCTAATGAAATTTTTTAATAGTTGACTTTTCATATATTCGTTCAGTATAATCAAATTTCTTCCCAAATGTTACCAATATTTTATGTCTTTTAACAAGTAACCATCCCCTCATGTTCCTTTGTTGACTAAGCAAAAACAACACCTTTCTTATTCACATCACTCTTCTCTTTCTCTTTTAACTGACGATTTTTCCCTTTACATGTTCCCACGTACTTCCTTTGTCTGATTGGTCTGTACATCATTTACAGAAATGCCCCACAAACTTCCTAGTCCTCAAATGCTTCTTTGACATTGTACTTACTAATGTTGGAACAATGGGAGCTTCTTGTGACGTTGAAGTGAACATCAATGGTGAAGAAACATTCATAGTAAACAAGGTGAAAATCCTTCTGTTTTTATTTATTTTATTTTTCAGTACCTTTCAGTTTCTTGAGTGAAATGGTTGGTGACCAGCATGCGCTCGTTCTTTGCTCCCAACAAAATGAGCAGTAGACACTTGACATTCAATTGCACCATAAAAGTATGTCAGGCATGACATGTGGACCTCCTTGCAATACCCATCATGTCTTTCCTTTCTTTCAAAGATGACCCCCCATGATTTATTATCTCAAGTGCCTTATGGTTGAGGTTTTCTTGTATCATCACATTAAAATGTGGGTATATCTTCTATTTAATTCCATGATGGATGTAGATGTATCATATTCTCTTCATTGTTGTGGTGAAAGTTAGATGTGTTATTTGTTGCTTTTATACACTTCACCTTTACTTTCATTGGTAAAGAAACCAAATAAATATTTCAATAGTTCTTCATGCCATCTAACCATCATAAATACTGTGCAGAATATTCTTTCATCATTCTCCCGTAAATTTAGCAACTTATTTGGTAATCTCGTGGACATAAATGGGGGTCTCAAAGTTATATTTAGTGACTTTCCAGGGGGTGCATATGCTTTTGAGCTCGTAGTACGGCTTTGCTACAATAGCAGCAAGATGGAGGTAACTCCATCCAACGTGGCCATGCTATGTTCTGCTGCTCGTTTCTTGGAGATGGAATGTGATAATGTTCTTGGAACACACAGCTTGAAACCCCATATTGAAAAGTTTCTTGAAGGGATTCGTTTCTGGACTTGGTCTGAGCTCCTAGAGGCATTGAAACAGTGTCAAGACTTAATTTCTTCAAAAAGTTATTTGGCAATTCTGGACAGAATTGTTGATCACTTGATAGAAAGGCTACTAATTTCACCGGGTATTACAAGCCCATATACATGTTCCTCTAACAGATCCAGCTTCCAGTTTTCTTGTGATACAAGCAGTAACAACAGCTGGAGAAATAACTGCTCTGGGGCTACATGGTGGTTTGAACATCTTGTGTTCTTGAAGATTGATTTGTTGGACAAAGTCATAAGGACAATGATATCTCATGATTTTGATCATGGTGTGGTCTCTAGGTTTCTGTTCTACTATCACAACTCAAGTTGTCTTGGTGCTATACATGCTGAGAAGATTGAGACAACCAAGGTTGTGATCAATCTTCTTTCATTGCTAGACTTAAGATCAATTTCTTGCAAGGATTTGTTCAATCTTAATCGAATTGCTATTAGCTTGAAAATAAGCACATGTTGTATAAACAAGATAGAAAGTCTCATAGGTCCTCTGCTGGATCAAGCAACAATAGATTATCTACTTCTTCCATCTCCACACGGGAGGGTTCATGCATATGATGTTGATTTTGTCCTACGGCTCATACACATATTTTTCATTGGAGGAAGTTTTGAGTTAACTTTGAATCGACTCAAGAGAGTGGCGAAAATGATGGATTTGTTCCTTGTTGAAGTTGCACCAGATCCCAATCTCAAACCTTGTGAACTTGAAGCATTGATTACAGTGCTCACAGATAATGCAAGGGAATCTCATGATCAATTATACCTAGCCATTGACATGTATCTAAAGGTAAGCTATCACTTTGCATCGTTCTATGACTCTACTAGGTGCAAGACAGCAATACTTGTATGCAATTTTACACTTTGAAAAGCTTGAAGCTTCTAATCGTTTATTGATCTTAGTATTTTACCAAGTTATAGTGTTTTATGAGATGTATTTCATATTTGAGTGTTTCACTTATATAGATACATAGGTCCATGCAGGATTAAGTGAAAAAGAAAAGATGAGTATCTGTTATACACTGAACCACGAGAAGCTCTCAGCTGAACTTTTCAGACATCTTACTCGAAACTTGACATTTCCTTCAGAGGCAAAACCCAGAGCTCATGTTACTAGACAAAACCGAATGAAGACCTTACTCTCAGAGAATGATCATTTGAAGACTTTTTTTGACTCCATGTTTCGTAAAAGCTTCAAGAACATAGAAGTGAAAGAGGATGATGAAAAGGGAATCTATGATGCTGATGAGCTTAGAGGAAATTTGGAAGGAATGCAGGGTGGGACCCAACTGGGTAGTGTAAAGAAGTCAGGGATTCATATCATGAGCAATGCTTTATACTTGCCAAAACTTTGTTCATGATGTTTACTTCCATATTTGACACTGAATTTTGTGTTTATCTTTTTGTAGCAGTCTTCTCTTATTAAAGGAGTAAAGTTATGCAAGTCCTGTACAGATATCATATTCTATGTAACAGATTTCACAAGTGATTTGATATAAGAGAAAATTACCACTTGTTTGCTCTTTGTGCATAAAAGAAGCATAGCCTTATGCTAACCTAGCTACAAGACTCTTACAGGGGCTTCAGCATCACTACATATTGTTTCTTTTTTCAATCAAGTTAGTGGGCTGGCAAATATATATTAAATAATTTTAGATGGATTGAATATTATTTCATGTTTTATTCGTACGTACTAAAATTAACCTAATATATATTTTGAATGTATATATTATATTAATTTTGATGTATATAAATAAGATATCAAATAATCTTTAATTTTACATTAAGTTACACAATTAAATTATTCAATAAGAAGTTATTAATTAGTGCAAGAATATATATATATATATATATATATATATATATATATATAATAATGTATGTCAATAACTGAGAAGAATTTTAGTTATATTCGGCATTAATTAAACAAACAAGGCACGTTTTTCTAAATTTGAAGTGCCTTTATTGATCCAAACCACACAAAAGATTGGACACTTAAAAACGTAAGAACCCATGAATTAGATTAATAGGACACTAATGGGGTTAACCGAGACCGTGTTGGTGTCTATGTTCTTCCCATAACAGAGAATGGGTAATTCCAAAGAATAGAACATGCTGATTATGCGGCAAGGAGCATGCGGATTCCGGGGCTCATGGCCTCAAATAATAATTTGATAAGCCCCAAGTGTTACTGTTAACAATCATTTTTTGAGTCAATGTTTTGTTCCTCACACTAACCCAAGTACGTTTATTCACAGAAGCCGTTTCTCCATGCAACAATCCTGGGAATTTGCTTTAGTACTAACAGCAAAAAGTAAACTACCAAGTTGTAACAAAATACACCGTAGATTATTGTTGTTATTAATCAAGTGTTAATCAGTGTCCAAAAGGACGAGGAACCAAAAGTTAATTTTTTGGGTAAAAACATATAATAAATATATTTTAATGCAGTCTAACATAGTTTTTCTTTTTTAAATTCTTACAATTCTTTAATTAATGTCTCAAGGATACTAGTTAACAAGATTATTATTGTTATTATTATTATTGTTGTTGTTTTTGTTTTGTTGTTGTGGTGTGTTTTGAATGGTTTGTATAGAATCTTACAATTGTGCTGCAACAAAGAGAGTTGTGATACATAAATGCTATAGATGGCTTTACGAATTGAGAGACCAACAAAGACATACAATTTGGATAGAGTGATACTTTTAGCCTTTCAATTTTTCGGAAATTTAATAATCGATCAGGTGGGGAAGCTTCGCAATTCTGCTACCGTCATTTTGTCGTTTCAACAAATCTCAAATTAAGGCTAAGTTTATGTTACAATCACTAATGATCATTTTTTTTTTTTAAATATATATAACTTGGTGATCAAGCATTTTGGCATCATTGTCACGTACGGGTCTACTTGCGCCGCATTAATCAATTTCACTATAAAACTCAATTACATATGATTGCCTTACTCTATATAATTTTATTTTATATAATATATACATCCGTTGTTGATTATATCATAATATGTACAAATCTATTATTACTTCTAGTCATTTTTATAAAAATTAAAAGACCAAATTATCAGAATTAAGAAAAGTAATTAAGTCAGTTATATTTTCTATAAATATAAATTTTATTTCAAGAATACCCATAATATTAAATAATGTAGTTAGTAATTTGTATATTTAATAATGCTAATAAAAAAAGTATAAAAAATTTTAATAATTGATGCATCTTAAATATATCATTTGTTTCTTATAAAAAGGATCATAGGTAGTAATTTTTTGGGAGTGTTAAGAGTACATATGTCATATACTCATGCAATTTTGGGATTAGAGATAGTAATTTTACACTTGCATAAATAGTAATTTTTAATCTTTGTATTTTTTGGATACTGACATCTATTATCATCATTATATAAAAAAAAATATTTATAAAAAAAATATGTTCTTATAACTTTGTAATCATAAGTGGAATTAAACATACATAATCTTCAAAATCTTTTGACACTTTTCAAGATATGTGAAAAAAAAAAAAGACACTAGTTAATTATTTATTTTAAAGTCAAAATCATAGAAATAGTTAAGTTATTTTACTTTTTCATTAGAATTAAAGTTTCCAAATGACTATAAGTGCTTATCTTTCAAATTTACATATTGCTTTGGTCTAACAATACCAATAGAAACTAGAACATATAAGTACATAAAAAGAAAATCAATAATTAAGCTATCTAATTAAAATTAATAGACACATTTAATTGAATAAATATATTAATAGAGTATTTAATACATTTATTTTTATGTTTCAACTAACTTTGTGCATGCATAATTGCCTCCAAAGTATCATCATGAAGCTGAGAACGATAATGACTCAACAATTTACCTCTGGGTGACCTCTCATGATGAAGACACTGGGAATAAGAGTAAGGTTAAGACAAAAACACTTAAGTGCTCAATGATTACAATGAGTGAACACAACACATTCTTTTCTTTCTAACTTTTTAATCTGAAATTGAAAGAAAAATAATAATTTTAATTAAAATAATATACACACACACACATATATATATATATATATATATATATATATATATATATACACATAATATATATTATAAATGCTAGTATGGGGTGGGATGGGTACCTAAGTACCCATATCTACACTCTAACACTCATCTCCAATAAAATTTGCAAGTATTTTCTTATATCCATATCTATACTCGTTTAATGGGTCAATATCTATTGCAGATAAATTTTACAGGTATCTATAAGGTACTTTACCCATTGTCATAAGTTATATATCCATAGTGACTAATCCCATTTATTACAATTCCTTTAATATCTCTAACAAGTATGCTTCTATCAGTCCAAAATTTCAAAGAAATAGGTTAGAACAACACTCACTTATGTATTACTCAACACAAGATTTTTACTTATACTTAACTTCTAGTGTTAGTTATCTATAATCTTCATAACTTGAAGCATATGAATGTTTTTCTGGCATGAGCTTCTTATAAAGTTATTTGAAAATTAATATCAACTATTTACTTACTTCCACATTCTTGTTTCTATAGCAATGTAAATTCTAAGTCCTAACAATATAGTAGGCAAAATATCATCTGATTTACTTACTCCCCCATGCCACACATATTTAATTTTCCAGTTGCTCTAACCTTATTCTCAGAAGACTAAATTTTATGTACACTAGTGTGTTGTTATTGTAATACTTTATCAGAGAAATAAGGTTTTCATTCTTGCAAGATGCAAGTAATAGAGTCAAAATATCCCACTGTTATTGCAAATTGGATTTTTTTTACCCTTGCTTGCAATTCAGTCTGTGTTTTTAAATTATTTGATGAAGTCTTTAATTATGTAAGAAAAAGAGAACTAAAAAAAAAACACAATTTTTGGGGTTGTTTTTATCTTTCATTCATGCTTTGTTTTTATGTTGCATTCATACATAGTTCTCTTGTTAGATGAAATACAACATTTCAAGTAAAATAGAATGGACATCACTTACTTTAGAGATTTAGATTTTGGGTTATCACCGTATTTTACCTACTATGACATGACTAAACAAGTTACTACACTAAAAAAAAAATGAAAATAACATGTCATACTAATTTCACGTCCAAAAATATCAAGAAAAAGTCTCAATTCTAACACTCCTCCTTGACAGTTTTCTTGATCATTCAAGTCTTTATTTAAGCACTTCAAACTTGCCCTAGGAAAGAGCCTTGCTCATGATGTTTGCAATTTGATTTTCTAAGTTGCATTGCACAAGATTAACTTCTTTAGATTTCTCAACTTCTTTAATTGCATGATAATTCACCTTAATATGTTTTGATCTACCATGCTACATCAGATTTTTAGCAATTACAATGACTAACTTATTATTTAATCCATATGACAATAGCTTCCTTGGCCCCACATCAAATAAGACTTTTCTAAGCCAAATAACATGATTTTCAACTGTTGTAGCTCAAGTATACTTAGCTTCAACTAAGAATTGGGCCACCACTTCTTGTTTTTTTGAACTATTTGAGAAAACATCATTGCTAGATGAGAAAACATAACTAGATATGCACTTTGAATAATCTATACTTCCTGCCCATTCACTATCTGCATAGCCTTGAAGTGCTCCACTTTCATTTTTCAAATAACACAAGCCATAATCAAATGTACCATTTATATATTTCAATACACACTTTGCAGCACCATAGTGAGCTTGACAGAATGCATATATCTGAACAACAAGCTTATAACAAACAATATCTTAGATCTTTTATGATTGAAAGGAATAATAAGTTTTCGACTAAGCTTTTCTAAATAAATGCGTCTACTTTGTTGCTTGCAATATTAAGTCACAACTTCTCATTTATAACAAGAGGTGTGTCCATTGGTTTACATTTCTCCATATGAAACTTCTTTAATATCTCTAGGACATATTTTCTTTTTGAAATGAAGATTCCAATTTTAGATTGATGTATCCCCATTTTAAGAATATAATTTGTTTATCCTAAATCAATCATTTCAAACTCATTTTCTATGTTATATTTAAATTGCTTTTAATATAACAACTACATTTCAATGCTTGTCTTCTTCACATACAAAGTAGCTTCATTTTCACTTTTTTCAAATATATTTTGCAAAAGATAGTCATCAATTCTAGTATACTAAGCCCTAGGTGTATACTTCAAGCCGTATAGAGTTTTATGTTGTTTGTAGAGTTTATTTTCACTTTCCTGAACTTGAAAACCTCCATATTGATGTACATAGATGTCTTTTTCAAGCAACCCATTTGAAAAGCTTGAATTCACACCAAAATAATAGATCCTCCAACCCAATTTGGCTACTAAAGCCACTAGCAT